AAAGGGCACTTTTCAACACAAAAAGGGCACTTTTTATCACAAAAAAGGGCACTTTTAGTCCTTTAAAAAAATTTGGGGGGGCACGTGCCCCCCGCTTCCTACGCCCCTGGCAGGGGCAACTCACCCCCCCCCCCTGGCACGGAGAAAATTTAACTAATTTTATGTGACTATGATTGGGTCATTCCAGAAAACATCCATACCACTCCCACAGAGGAAATAGGAAGTTAACCCCCTACTCCCTTCGCATGTCCCAATACATTTACTATTATCGGAAACAATTTTTTCCCCTCCCCCTCCGGACGGCAGAAATTTCCTCTGTGGGGGGAGTACGGGTTTTTTCTGGAATGACCCATTGTAACTTGGAAATTATGCGGTCAAAAAATAAAAATTTCATGCAAACAATATTCGAAGTGTCTATTTAGTAAACTGTCACTTGTCAATCCATACCCATTTTCAAAACTTTATTGTAATCATATGAAGCAGAAGTTATGTCACTTGTTGTTTGGCACTTGCCAATGTTAACTGTTGAGTAAAATACACAAAATATTTGGTGAACATGTCGAAGACCACTGAATAATTGAGAATGTTTTGAAGGTCATGAGTGAAGTATATAATTAAATTCCAGTTCTGTGCACAGTTAATGATATACCACACTGTTCGGTTTAACACGTACAGCACATTCACACAAAAACAATCGTGTTGTGGGAGATTATCGGTTTGCGTAGAAGGTATCACAAGTTTAGTTTTGTACATTGTGTGCCATTGATCAAATCCACCATATAATATATGATTACTCATTGTAGCTGTTAAATTATTTTCCATACTAATGAATTTAGGTAAGATTGTCTTCCAAGTTTGTTGTTCTGACAAAATTATCCAGCCAATATCCAGTACATTTATTCTTCATTCTTGTATTAATCTCTAAAGAAAAATATTTATGTTAGAAAGCAAAATGACAATGTAATGAGGCTTGGGAGGGTGAGGATTCTTTTATTTGAAAGTGTTTATAAAAATTTTGTTTAATTAACTCTAATGTGTAAAACCAAAATGTATAACAGTAGAGCTACTAGACACAGTATAAGTATTTTAACTGATAACATCTTCAACCTTTGCTCTAACACTACATTTGATGACAGCTTTATAGTTGGACTGTTGTTTTGAACAGAGTTACGGAGTCAATATACAGAAATACAGGACCAGGATTTAATTCAATATCTCCTGAGAATGTTTTCACTGTTTAAAATATTACAGAAGTCACAGAAGGATTGTTTTTAATACTGTATAAATCTTTTTGTGAACTATGTTGATAAATGGCTTAAAATATCCTCGAAAATATCCAATATTTTATACAGTGTAATATATTAATAAAAAAATTCCAGAGTGCATTTCATGTAAACTCTACGCCGAAGATACGGCAATATTAACTATAGATAGTATAGTAAATATTTGCCGAACTGGCGAACTCATGTATTATAAAATATGTGGGACATATATTTGCACAAATTTGGTATTTAAATATATAATATGTGGTATTTGACTACTTACCAGATGAGGATAAGATTCCATGTTGATAAATAACTTCGGAATAATATCGCAAGTAGAGAAAACTCTTCAGCCAATTCAAGATAAATTGATAAAAATATCAAGATATTTTTGAAAGAATAACACGATTTATACACGAGGCCTGACGAGGCTAAAGTATGCCCGTTCACAGGTTAGATGCGGGCAAGATGTAAACAATTGATGTAAACTGATCGCTGATTGGCTTAAATTGGCATAAATTGGCTGAATTATATAAGCCCGTCGCTGAATGGCTAGGGATACGGTACGTTTGCGATAGCAATATATCTGCTTCGCAGATACAACAAGAAAATATTTCTTTAAAAAAGAAATAATGTTTCGTTCCAATATAATTATAGAAATACCAGACGTCTGTAATTAGCGGTTGTGACCATAGATCACTTGTATATGATTCGAGCAATGAAATTGGTTCATTTTGTGAGGCGGGCGGGTTCTGGCAATTTTTTGCACGTATTAGTATAAATTTTCATTACCTGGAGGGGCCGAGCGGTCCAGAAATACAGTAGTAGTATTTAAAATGAAGAAAAACAAAGAAAACTATATAATAAATATATATATATATATATATATATATATATATATATATATATATATATATATATATATATATATATATATATATATATATATATATATATTAATGGCAGCATTTCTGGTGTCTGAGCATCCACAAGGACTGTGGGAATTCTGCTTTAAGTATCACCAACAAATCACTAGTTGTATTTTTTATATATAATATCTCAAATCACTCTCGTATCACATTTTTTACAATGGTTTCGCAGTCAAAGTCTCACAACAACAAAAATTCCTGTTTTAAAGGAAAACTATGTATCACGCTATCGCGCGTGGAGTTCACGTGTTCTATTACTATTTTAACTATAGACTGAGGTAAAGTCTCCGACACACTCCCCCATGTATGTTCTGTCCGAGATATACATGCACTCTCAGACTTTATAACGCAAATGTAAACACTAAATAATGTAATTATAGTCATCAGTTCCAACTTTACTATCAACTTTGATTATCGTTCTAGTCCGACTGTTCGTTCTCGGCAAGTTCTCTAATAGCAACTCTCGCAGCTTCTGCAGCGGCTCTCTTTGGTCTTGGGTGGAAGTCTGTGGCATCAGGGTTCAGTTGTGGGTTGTTGTTTAAATCGCAAGACAATTCAAGGGGAAATAAATGTTGGACTGCTCTCTCCAATGTACCCTTGCCTGTTTTCAACACTGCTCCCCGTACAACTCCGTCCTTTCCCGTAATTAATCTTGTCACAACAGCAGTTCTCCACGTATTCCTTGGTTTGTTTTCTTCTCGAACAATCACGACTTCTCCGATCTTCGGATGCACAGCATTCTTGTTTCCAGTTTGGCGGTGTTGTTCACGCAGGCCACGGACATATTCACGACTCCATCTGTCCCATACTGCTTGTTTGCATCTTCGAAAGAACCTTGCACGTTTTCTCAAATCTTTCTCGGCAATGTGATGTGCCTCTTCTTCAGGAACGTACGTTGCATTGACCTGAAGCAACGAGTTAGGTGTCAGCGCTGGTAATTCAATATCGTCCTCGAGATATGTTAGCGGTCGGTTATTTAACGCTACTTCTACGTCGAGTATGACATCCTCCAACTCAGACCATTTCAGAGTTCCGTTACCGACGGATTTGTAGAACGCATTCTTGAACAAGCCTATAAGTCTCTCGAATTGGCCCCCCCACCAAGGGGCCCGACTCAGATTAAAACGCCATTTGATACCAAAACTCGCAAGAAGACTGTGAAACTGTTCGTCCTTTCTCACACGCTGTAACCATTTAGCTGTCGCCTGAAAGGTAGCTCCATTATCCGAGTACACTACCTTGGGTCTGCCACGTCTAGCGATGAATCTCTTTAAACAGGCGATAAACTCCTCTGTTTCCAATGACGTTACCAGTTCCAGATGAATCGCTCTGGTCAGACTGCACGCGAACATGGCTAAGTAGGCTTTCCCTTCCGTCTTTTTTCCGCGTTGATATCTTATCGGCCCGGCGAAGTCTACGCCTATCACTTGAAATGGCACGTCACCCTCGGTACGAGTTTTCGGCAGTTTCCCTGGAGGTGGTACATGATACGCCTTCACTTGAAATCGTTTGCAGCCATTGCATTTCCTCCGAATCCGTTTGACTAACTGACGAAGCCGAGGCACCCAAAACCGTTCACGCACCTTTGCCATAGTGAGCCCAACGCCACCGTGTAGAGTTGAAATGTGGGCTTGTTGAACAACTTTCAATGTAAAGGGTTGGCTATCGGGCAGATAGATTGGATATTCACCACTGATTCGCCCGCGACACTCAACTATTTGTTGATCGTTCTGCAACAAGTTCAATCGCAATTGATCTGTTCGAAATTGGGCATCATCTTGAACTGCTTGCTGTGCTCGTCTAATCCACCAGAGTTCCTGCTGTTCAACCTCATCAGTAGAAATTGGACCCGTCACTTTCTCTTCGGTTTGGCTTTTGCAGTTTGAAACAAAGCGTCGAACATAACCGAGAATTCTCAATACTTTCGAGAGATGGTATTTTTCGAGTAGCTCATCAAAG